CACTCTTGCTCGTCATTATACCACGATAAAGGGCTCAGCGATTTAGTAAGCGTTGTTTATATATGTTACAAAGCCGAAAGTATGGGACATCCAATGAGTATCGAACTCACTAGTCGATCGTAACTAATCTAGCGAGACAAGCTTAGCTAACACCACTTCAAATTGCCCAATACACGCAAGTATATAGACAGGTTGCGGTGTATAAATTGACGCCATTTTATATTTTTAATTTCGCGCATGCGCGTTGATTTTTATTTTGTCGACTGCACAGTATAGTATGGTCTGTTCGGCAAGATCTGTAAGAAAAAGATCACAATGGCTTAATTCATTCAGCCAGAAATTTGGAAATGGCATGATGTACTGCTTAGCATTCACGCCGGAAGCTCCAATACAAACATTTCAGACTGTTTGGGTGTCAATCAACAGTGCAGAGTATTCGGAAAGAGTTGGAAATATCTAATGGTTATTACAAGGGTAAGGCTGATCGGAAAACTCACTCTGATCGTTCTGATAAGTAAAGAACTCAAGACAGAGGCCTACATCAAAGACCTTTAGAAGGTTGTTGCTGCCCTTTCTCAAAAGGGTGGCTGCTGGAAGACCGTCTGTCTGACAACAGGACTCTACACCATACCACACAAGCAGGATAAAACATTCATGTCTGCTAGACAATTTCTGCGACCAAATAATCACTGACGACCTAACTAGCCAGACTGCAACATTCTAGGCCTAGGGAAGGTAACATATTTTAATCTCCGCCTTCATCGTGAATTGTAAAGAGCGGTGGAGTCTAATTAAATGTTGAATATATATATATATATATATATATATATATATATATATATATATATATATATATATATATTAAGTATGGGAAGCCGTTTGTATAAACCATTGGCTTCTGTTACCAATTATAGGTTTTTAAGAATATTTGTGGCGTTTTCATAGTTTATTTTGTTCAGGATAGGTTTCAACTGTTTTATGTTTATAGCTTCAAGAATTTTTAGTTTTTTGTTTATTGTTTTCATGTTTAAGTATAGTTGTGTTTTCAACCAGGATTTTCCGGAATTGTGTATGCGGCCAAGCATGTTGTTTTAAATGGCTAAAAATATTAGAATTTTCATTCAAACGTAGTGTCAAGCGTTGTGAAAGCGAGTTTGTGGTGTGACCAACACCACACACACACACACACACACACACACACACACACACATATATATATATATATATATATATATATATGTGAACACTGAAGTCAACACTCAGAGGTGACGGCCTGAAGATTACGTCTAGCATGAAACAGCGTGTCACCTCTCAGTGTTGACTTTAAAGTTCACTTTTATATTTATATTTACATACGCTCTATCTCTGATATTGATTTATCCCATAAATATAGCACACCTTAAAACTATATTTCTTCATATATATATATATATATATATATATATATATATATATATATATATATATTTTATTTAAAAATATGATTCCATCGCTACATAAGAGTTCTCATGTTTCAAAACAAGAGCCGAAAACTTCAATATAATTATAAAAAAAAATTCGCTTGAGGATGGAACAGAGTTTGGTACTTTAATTCAGTTTAATTCAAATAATTATATTGAAGTTTTCGTTCTTGTTTTGAAACATGAGAACTCTTATGTAGCGATGGAATCATATTTTTAAATAAATAATTATATTTAGGATCTACTTTTGTATCGAGCACTGTTTTTTTTTAAATTAATAACAAAAAATACTAAAGAACGTTGGATTATTTACCTAACAGAGTTCTTTCCTATTTTTTTCTATATTTTTCACACACACACACACACACACACACACACACACACACACACACACACACATATATATATATATATATATATATATATATACCTAACATATATATATATATATATATATATATATATATGTGTGTGTGTGTGTGTTTATGTGTGTGCGTATGGTTTTATATACTGTATTTGAAAAATATTAACTGACGACATTAGTGAAACACTATAAACGTGGACAACATAATGGCAATAGAAAATGAAAGAATTATGAAAAAACCGTTGGAAGAATATGGAGAAAATGCGGGAAAGGCTGAAGAAAGAAAGAAAATGGAACAAAAAAAAATGGTAGGAACCGAAATAACAATGCGGGGTATCAAAACCAAAGTTGCGATGGAAGCATTTGCGATAGAAGAACAAACCTGAATTTAAGAAAGGAATTAAAATTCTTATATTCACTGGATTAATTTTCTAACGTCTTATTTTAAATTTCTGCAACTCCCTTACCCTTACTCGCAGTTTTCTTCTTTTCGTTCATTTTTGTTTATTTTAAAACGAAAATTTCAAAATAAACTAAAGGAAAAAAAATTACATTATGTATTTCTTAAGAAATAAATTCTTTCATTTAAGAGATTTATTTTTCCTTAAATTCAAATCTTTAAAAATATTCACCCGCGTATGTTGTTTTGTTTACTGTTATTTCTTGTTTATTTCTTTGTTTTAAATTTGTGCCGTTTCTTTTTGGTTCTCCATTTAACCTGTCTTATTTGCCTGTATTAATAACTCCCGTCGACTTTTCCAGTTATCCGCCAAGTTCCATCTTTGATCGTCTGTTTCGAATGTCACTAGATTTTAATTGTGTTTGCATCTCTAAATTTAAAACGACAAATTCGGTTGCCCTTCTCCCCACTTATTTGCTAGGTATTTATTATCTTTAAGATAAATAACTGTCTAATCTCTTTCAAGGATTTTTTTAGGGAGCTATTGCATTTTATTTGACTTGGCAGAGTGAGTCGGGAGTCTTCGTCGAAGATTCGAAAGAATTGGATTTTCTTTTAACCGTTAATTGCATACAATCTTTCATGCTAGAACGCCTTATCCTCAACGATATCTATCTATCTATCTATCTATCTATCTATCTATCTATCTAATTCGGTCCCTTCATATCTATCTATCTATCTATCTATCTATCTAATTCGGTCCCTTCATATCTATCTATCTATCTATCTATCTATCTATCTATCTATCTATCTATCTTCATTTGTTAATATCTATCTATCTATCTATCTATCTATCTATCTATCTAACTATCTATCTATCTATCTATATATATATATATATATATATATATATATATATATATATATATATATGTTATAGTGGAACACGCCTATTCTATAGTTAATAGACTCTCCCACTTATAATAAGTAGGAGAAGTAGCAGTCGCTGAGTCAGCAGTGAGTTGGTCAGTCAGTCGATGTCGGATGACCGTTAGTCGGATATTAAAGTATCAGCCACCACAACTAGATTGCTGCGTCATTAACTCTTATATCAAGTTCCTAACGTTTTGTACGTCGACCCTATTTTAGGACCGACTTAGTGAAATACAAGCCTCCACTGTGAAACTACTCTATAACAACATATATATATATATATATATATATATATATATATATATATATATATATATAACTAGCAAGGTAGTTAGCGAGCTAGCTAAGTAGATTTTACACTTCTATATAACTATTTTTGGCCTGAGTTCTTATAAATCTATCATAGTTTTCTAGGTATCCCCGTTGAGAAAAAACGATGTTAGGCTCCACAATTTGATTCAGAGATCGCGCTAAAATAATCGAAAATCTTTCAGTGTCAAAGAAGCAAAAGGAAAACTATGAAAGATGTTGAGTGACATAAATCTTTGGAATATTTATGGATGTGCGTTCTAATGTAATGTAATGGATATGGGCACGGAATGAGGAACTGAAGTGCCGAGTTCGAATTCCAGAAGGTTTCGTTGCATTAATTTACCCATACATACCCTTGGAACAGGTATGAATCCAACCCTTCTCCCCCAGCTATGGGTTGAATAGCAGAACCGACTGCGTTCTCTAGTCTGGGTTAGCAATCTGTCAGAAATAAATGGAAATATACTGCAGGAAAATATTCTGTCTAGTCACTCATGGATCGAAAGATACATGATCGCCCAAGCGTAACTTAACTGACTGATAGTTCACCTCGCCTTCTTGACATATAGATATGGTTGAAAAGACATGTGGCAAGCCCGAATTCTTCATGAAAAAAGTCAAGGAAGTTTAGAAGGGATAAGGTATAGAGGAAGATGATAGACGGTATTTGTCTTTTTTTTTTTTTCGTCATTAAAGATGAAATAAAAAAACGACAAAACTAAATAAAGACACTTTAGAATCTTAAAATTGAAATCTTACTCAAGGACATCTTCCTAGATATAAATAAATACACGTATAGAGACGACAGGTCGATAAAGGTAAAATGTGATAGTCTGAGTCTGTTTTAAATTAAAAAATGAAAGTGTTTTAAAAAAACGACAAAATAAATAAAGACAAGGTGCATTTATCAAAGATGTTTTCAAATTACTTGACATTTCTTACACATAATACAAAGATCTGCTCCCCAGATACATATAAAAACAAACGTCGTAAAAAACAGACGACAAGTCGGCAAACTGTCTATCTATCTATAACATATCAAATTTATCTATCACAGTTCATATCTATCTAAATAAATCTATCTATGTTCAAAAATTCTCAGTTCATATTTCTATAATCTATCTTTTATCCAACAAGGGACGAAAAATGCAACACTGAAATCTATCTATCTCAGTTCATTGCGATATCTATCTATCTATCTATCTCTTTCAAAATCCATCTCAGTTCATTTCTATCTACATCTATCTATCTATCTATCTATCTATGTTCATATTTGAAAATCTCAGTTCATATCTATCATCTACATATAAAATCTATCTATGTTCAAAAAATCTCAGTTCATAACATCTATCTATCTATCTATCTATCTATCTATCTATCTATGTTCATATCTATTTATCCATCTCAGTTCATATCTATCTATCTATCTATCTATCTATCTATCTATCTATGTTCATATCTATTTATCCATCTCAGTTCATATCTATCTATCTATCTATCTATCTATGGAAATGGATGGCAGTTGGTTTAGGGGAGGTAGGAAAAATACAAAATTTAATAAAAGCGACAAAAGAGTAGACATTATGGAGAACCATGATCGCTAGCGTCCTGAAAGGAACATAGCACATATAAGATGAAGAAGAGCTGTATGACTAAATCAGCATGGTGACAACCTGTAAGGCGCCATCTTGGTAAGACAGTTTCACAATGCGTTTTCAAATTTTATCGCAGTGGTTCCCAAACATTTTTTCTCTGTGCCGAATTTAATTTTCGGAATGAAAATTTGTTCGCGCCTCATCAAATTTAATAGGAGAAAACTACAAAAAAAAACATATATATATATATATATATATATATATATATATATATATATATATATATATATATATATAGAGAGAGATAGAGGTTTAAAGGAAGATAACCGCGGATTTGAAGTCAGAACATTATCATTGATAATTCTCTCCTCCAAGTTGCGGATCCTAGTTACTACATCCTTAATACAGACAAACCTCTCATCTACGGACCCCCATCAAAAGACTTCGGATTCAACGGACAAAATCTGCAGGCAAAAATAAAATAAGTTATGCAGGGGAAAAAAACTTCCAAATCGTCAGCGATGTATTTCAAAATTTGCGGGCTTAGCGGAATGAGTCGTATTAGTTCTTAAAGTGATCGCTTGGCGGCAGTCTCAGGCCTTTCAATTGTAAACAAAGACGGGTGTACAGTATATAATGTACGATATATTTGCACATGCGTGAGGAAGTAGCTGTGAGGAATCTATTATTTTTGTTATTTTGATTAATATATCTATATGAAGTATATCTTTATTTATGCCATATATACATGTTTAGAGTATTTACATTATGATCATAACTACTGGTTGTTACGATAGTGGTTTTATAACTCAAAAAATCCCTTCCCATCAACGGACATCGGTTTAACGGACTACCCACCCTCCAATTAGTCCGTTAATGACAGGTTTGCCTGTACTTGATATAATGCAAAAACATCACAATTATACTATCTGTAAATAATTCAGTCAGTTATGTGCCATGCGTTGATACACGCTTAGGTGATCATGTATTTTTCGATATATCACTGACGAAGCAGATTTTTTCCCCGCATTATGTTGCCATTTCTTTTTGCAGTAGACCAGTTGCCATATTAAAGGTTATAGAACCCGGTCTGTCCTGCTATTTACCCATAGCTGGATGGGGGGAGAAGAAGAGGATTCATACCTTTCTCAAGGAGATTAGCACGTAAGTGAATGCAATGGAACTGACTGGAATTCGAACTCTGCTCGAATTAATCCTCTCTATAGATGAATGGTGGAATAATGGACTCGCACTGAGAAATCCGTCCGCTAGCCATTAATTCATCGTTCCTCCTATGGGTAAAATAAATGATTACTTATAACTATTTATCCTGTGATTCATACATGCAATTACAAGTAATCCATAATAATATATTAAATTTTGAAATCATATTTATTTTTTAGCATATGAATTTTTTTTTTTTTAACTCTTTCTAAATCTTTGATTGTCTTTCAATCCTTCCGCCTCACCTGCTATCATCTTCCACCGTACCTATGAGAGACGCCATACTGTTTGGGAACCATTGTTTTATCGGAAGCTTTTTCTTTTTAATTTCCAGTCCCTGTTGCTTACGAAACGTTCGTAGATTACCAAAACACACTGGAGGTTGTAATAAAATACCATAAAATAACACCAAATAAAGAAAAAAAAGCCGTTGAAAGTTTAAAATGCATTTGAATATTACTACAAAAAGCTTATACTACTCATGACAAACTTACCGATCACCGCACATTTCAGAACTTTATTCTTTGAGAGTCTTCATGCGAATCGTTTTGCTTTCAAACTTCGTATGGCATGGACATAACTTGTGCATTCTGAACAACTGGGCAGGCAATTCCCAAACATTTTCGGATGAGTTACCAATTTGATTACTTTTCAGTATTCACATCTGTCAATTCGAGAATTTGAACGCAGAATATTGAATGCAAGAACGCTCCTGTTGGATAGAATATGTCATCCTCTGTCTTATTTTTTTTTTATTTTTTTTTGCATGTTGCAATAACTCGACATATCAAATGAATATCTAAGATTACAAACACATCCTGAGTTATGCAACTCTTTGTCTTCTTTGTTTTACATCCAATGCGCTTCTTGGCAGGTGAGTTCCATCTCTCTGAATCTTTTGGAGTGATCGATATTATATATTTATTAGCTGACTTCAACTAAGCACGGAATGTTTCTAAAAGAAAAGAAAAGTAAGAGAACACATTATATTGGTAGCTTATGACATAATTGTTAAACTGCTTTTGATTAGCGACTTGATGTACAGAGTCGGACCAAATTATTAAATGCTGACAACACAATACGTACCAGAAGATCAGCGTTTGACTCCACCTTCAAAAGTAACAACTCCTCCGCAAAGAGATGCCATCTTCCACGAGCAGAGACGGAAGAGTCGATGACAACAATCGCAAATGTGTTACAGTCTGTCTTCCATACTTTGGGATCGCTTCTGAAAACATACAATCGATCTGCTGTCCATATGTCTTCTTTATGTGCCGATCATGGCTCTCCACAACTTCCTGCACCTTTTAGTTCTGAATAAACTTTTTCTATTCTTTCTGCTAAGCCCTGTCTCGCCATCCATTTACTCAAGCTCACTAAGTATGTTATGCCTTGTTTTCACTCTTTCTCTCTATCTGTCCCGTGAGTATCAGATTTACCAAGCCCTCCTTCCTCATTATTTGCGTCAATGACCTCAACTGTCTCTTCCTGATGTCCATTATCAGTTTCTTTTTTGTCACCATTTTCTCCCAACAGTCGTCGTTGCTCATATGTTCGTCCACGGTATCCTCAGCATCCTTCCGTAGAGCCATATTTCTGTTGTTTCAAGTCACCTCTTCATCTTTGCGGTGATCGTCCAGCACTCACTGCTATACAGGAGGACATATTTCATACAAGTTATTCAAAAGCAGTTTATCTTTTCGCAGATATCTCTCCCGGGCCCCGGGAAAGAAACGCGAAAACAGACAGAAACAAGCCGTTCTCTTAAAATAAGGATGAAGAAAAACGGAGGAGAGACATTGAAATTAGGAGTGACTGGTCATGCATGGATGAAAAAAAAAAGTATTCTCTAGCCCCTGTTGTATGAAGTCAAAGTTAATAGACAACAACATTTACAGATAATATGACTGAAATAATTATCTCGTCCTCGGTAAGACGTTAAACTACATCCGCGTCCTGGGTAAGACGATAAACTACATCCAGCAGCAAGGCCTCTGATTAGAAGGTTTTGAGAAGCGTGAAACCCCCTCTTAATTGCTGCTGTTCCCAGGTCCACCCTGACACAGGGTGGTAGCACCTGTTAGGGTCCTAGTTATGGGCAAATAGTTAACTATTACCAGCAATATTTGTTTGGAAAAATTATTACCAGCAATTTTGAAGGAAAAATATTACCAGAAACAGATTTTTGACAAAAAATATTACCAGCAATAAAAAATGTTGTCGGCATTAAATAATCCATTGAGGTTGATATGCCGTAAAACAAAATAAACCTAAAGAATTATCGCACATATTGATCATTAACAACCTCCTCAGTAGACCTAGCATAGAGATAAATACCATTTGGGAGCCTTTGATAAAAAAAAGAAAAAAACACTCATACAATGACATCGCCTGAGTACATTCATTAAGGATAAAAAAAAAACAAACTATACTACTTAGTTTTTCCAAGCGATATATGTTCTAGAGCAGAGTTTCCCAACCTGAGCGATATTTTCCACAGGTGGGCGATTTCAGCTGTTTGGTGGTGATGAGCAGCTGAAAAGAGAATGGTTGGTGATTGGACATTTTGATGGATGACATAGGATTTTGAGTATTAAAAAGGTTATTTCAACATACAAAAAAATATTTAAAGAAGATATGCAAAGAACATTCATAAAGAAACAAGTGAGTAAATAGGAATAACTGGATCACATTCTTAGATAAGATATAAATATCCCCGCAAACAACGAATATTTTGGTATTTTGGTTTTCAGTGGTCAAGTTTGATTTCCTTTGTTATTTAATACGGTAGCAGCAACAAGAACCGTCGCATAAGTCAGCGTCATTTGTTACCTTCCTTGGTAATTTTTACTACATTATAAAATCAGTTTACGAAACAATAACAAACTTTCGCCAAACAATTTTCGTATGCTTCTGAATATTTATTAAGCATGTAGGCGGTGAAGAATTTTTCCATGTGAAAGTGGGAGATGATACCAAAAAAGGTCGGGTGTAACACCGTATCCTCACCCCACGGGACCTACGCACTCCACAAGACCAGCCGTTGGTCCGGTATGGTCCAGTATTACATGTTAAACACAAGTCTTCGGTTCCCAATGTCAATTCGAAGCCACCCTCCAGCCACGTTGTGAGTGTTTTGATTCTGGAGAGGGGTCATCAGATCGTAGAAATCCGGAAGCTCCCCGTTAGTCCACCTACGAGTTCGTCGGGTGGGAATCGGGTTAACAGAAAAATAAATATAAGCAAGTCAATTCGATTTTGAAAGGATAAAAGTTTATATATATATATATATATATATATATATATATATATATATATATATATAAAAGCAAACACACACATAAAAATAATTCTTGTTGCACAAGGTTGAATGTTTCTTGTATCTGAACAATAACCAAACAAACACAAATACTTCGAATAATTCTCGTAAAGGATAGATGTGGTCTACGTTTTAAACCTTTTAGATCTGTTCTTAGCGCAACTATTACAACCTTTGACTTTCCATTTTTTAGCAATAGTAGTAGTATTAGCAGTAGCAGGAGTAGCGGTACTTAGATGTTAGCGGCGGTATTTCGCTTCTTCGTCCTCCGATTCAGTAACACGCAGCGGACGCTTCCTTTTCAATCTCTGACGTCTCTCCACTCAGTTCGACTGCAGTCGAAGACAGACGAATCCAAAACTCTTCTTCCGGTTGGCTCGCCTCTTTATTAAG